TCGAAGAAGGATTCTATGAAGTTGATGTGATGAAACCTTCTGCGTTATGGAGAATGAAATTTTCGTCGCCAGGATATTCAAGAAAGGAAACCAAAAAGTGACTGTCGGTAAATGCAACATGTCTCATGTGTGTTGCTTCGGAAGCCCCAGATCATGGGGCAGGAGTGCATATCTTTCGAGAGCTTCCATAGCTCAGTTGGTTGGAACAGAAGCACAATGCTGCCGCGGGACGCGGGCTCGTACAAAGAGCCGACGCGCCGGTAGGATGGCATGCAGTGCGCAAGCCGCGGCAACGGCCAGGGCCAAGCCCTGGCGGTGTGCACGGAAACACCGCCCAAGCCCAAAATTTTGTTCGGCGCACTCGCCACAGGCGCTTCGCTGCGATGATGCCGCAGAGCCGCCCCCAGCGGCGCAGCGCGCACCCTTTGGCGCGCGGTCGTCGAAAGAGGCGACGCGCCGTCAGGATGGAATGAAGTGCGCAAGCCGCGGCCACGGCCAGGGCCAGCAAGCTCTGAAGAAGCCACTGGACAGCCCTCCTCTATAACTATGATATGGAACCCCCAAGATAGTCCGGGTACTTGTTAAGGCCCCTCAAATTAAACCCTAAACCCTAAACCCTAAACCCCGAAACTTTAAACCTTAGACCCCAAACCCTAAACCCGGGCCCCTTAACGCCAAACTCCCGGCTTCTGAAAAACCCAAGCGTTTGGGTTTAATAGGGTTTGGGGTTTAGGGTTTAGGGCACAGAACCCAACTTGGGCCTGAAATCATTACCAATACTGTTCTGGGATTCCCTGTCATTATTATAGTAAAACTAATATACCCCGAAAACCCCATTCAAACTACTAAGGCCCCAGAATTCGGGTTATGAGTTAAAGGAATCAGACCGATTTTCTTTGAGCTTCGATTTCTTCTGAACCTCCACCTATACAGCCCTAATTAAACCTTCAACCCGGAACATATTATACCCCTACCGTAAACATCCCAAAACCCTAAGCCCGGAACCCGTTATACTCATACCCTAAACCCTTCATATCCTTCAACCCCAAACTCTGGTTTAGAGGAACCGAAACAGCACATAAGCATAAGCATGTTACAGGGATATCCCTACCTTATTGGGCTTCATTGTCATTATGATATAATATATCCCTATCCTAAATTTTGCTTACGTGCTCATTTATGGCTCTATCTGACTCTATCTACGCACGTCTGCACGGTTGTCCTTTAGGGGTTCTTTTGTTCTTTCAAAGGAAACCTGATCGAAACCAGAAACAAACACTAATCTATAAACTCTAAATTCCCAACCCCTAAACTACTAAACCCTAAACCCTAGTTCCCAAAGCCTAAATTACTGGATCCTAAACCCTAATTCACACCTAAATTCGCCTCGGCCCCGGCCGAAGCGGTCAGAGGTTCCTATTCGGATTCCCTCTATTCCCCACCTCTTAATCCCCTCACCACCATCGTGGGGGGGGGGGGGTCCCTCTGTGTGAACCCATAAATGAGGTTCAGGGTCCGGCGGTGAAGTTTCGCCT